GACCAAAATATGATTCCAGTATTGAAACTACATTAATTGACTGTTTGCGTTGATTAATAATAATTGCTTCAAATACTAAAAAGCTGAATTATGTATGTGTATTAGACAGTGTGGTAAAAAGTAACACCTTAAAAATGATATTTAATTTTTTGACAAATGCTTATTTATAACAACAGATACGTTCATTTTCATAACTTATTATTATATTGATTTCTGATTCAAATCCACATTTATTTAGAATAATTTATTAACGAACACAACTAAGTATGTGTAGTTAATTAGTATTTGGGCGGAAATACTGATGGTTTATTTAATTAATGGTATACTCTTTTATAAAGATTTAAATAGTTTTCTTTTTGCATACAAATGGCCTAGTAATATTATCGTTTTACTAAAAACGATAATATTACTAGCCTGTACATTTTGTACATTTGTTGTTTTAAAAACAATCTAAAATGTCAATATTCCATAGGTATATTGATAAATGAGGTCTAAATTATAAGAAAATGCATTTTCTACGAAAACTTGAAGGAATAGGTAAGAAGAGGTATAATACAATTTGATAGACCATTAAATTGTGCATCTGATTCTCATAAAATATACAGGTTCTATTTAAAGTAAATAAGTTATTGCCGTTTAAAGCTAGTAATTATTTAAAATAAATTTTTAGACACTCTGTATAAGGTAGTATAATTTTTATTATTGCAACACAATAACTGATCAATAAATAATCTTCAGTAAATATTTAGTATTAAAAATTTTGATATCCTCGGAGAAATGAAGCCTTAAAATTTATACTGCAATTTCGCAAAATTGAAAATATTTCAAAAACGGTAAGGTTTAAGTGTAATAAACCTTAATCAAATTTACCTTTATTTTAATCGTAGAAAGTAAAAATGCAATAATATACAGGGTGTTCCATTTAAGAAAATACAACTTTGATATTTTTTATTTATTTGGGACACTCTGTATCTTGTAAAACTATTTTTAAATTGTAGCTCTAATAGTTCTTCAACGAACCCAAAAGTTACAATTTGTAAAAATCTAATCGTTTAGCTACAATACTCCGTGTCGTATGTGGTGAACAACCCCGTATATCAAAGATTACTAAAAAAGCAAATTCTCTTCTTTATTTTATTGAAAGAGCATTCAAGATCGCTCTATTGATCTTATTTTAAAGATATACAAGTCCTACATTAGACCCAAAATAGAATATGGTCAAATAACATGGAGTCCCTATTTTCAGAAGGATATTGATCTCATCGAGAAAATTCAACGCAAGGTGACAAAATGCCCCATGAACTTAAGGATCGGGAGTATGAAGATCGTCTTGCGATGTTAAATCTCACCGCATTAAAACAGAGGCGTTTGCGGGGGGACTTGATAGAGACTTACAAAATTCTAAATTGTTTCTACACTTGCCCATTAAATATATACCATCCTTGCCAAACTCCACAACTTAGAGGCCACAGCAGACGCCTGGAAAAGGAAAGATCGTCCAAACTCCAGCGAATTTTTTTTTGACTAACCGCATAGTGTACCCGTGGAACTCGCTGTCAGAAGAAAGTGTTTCAGTACCAACTCTCAACTCATTTGAAAATAAAATTGATCAAGAAATGGATACGTGGAGTTCTGTATATTTGCATTACGGCCAGTAAACTCGAAAAATTACGCAATTAAAAAGACGTAAACTCATCGGTATTTTTGTACCGCTTTCTATTGTGTAAATAATAATAATAATAATAGCTCCCGTATATAGCGTTTAACGCCTTGGGAGCAGCAAGGTACAGCTTGCTATACTAGAGCCGTTCGGTATACAGGGAAGGTAATGTGGCTAGCACTACGCTTCAACCGCCTATTATTACCTCAGTATTGTGAACCTAGGTACCCAAACTATTTTTATTTTAATAAAAATAGTCGGCTGATGAAATGCCGGGTGTGGGAATCGAACCCACACTTTGAGATTGGTAGACGAGAGCCTGAACCTCTACGCCACCGGGCACCTTTGTGTAAATAATAATAATAATAAATTAGCAGGGATAACTTAGTCCCGTATAGCCAAGAATAGACAACAATGGGTCCAACTACAGAAAGAGTATCTAGTTATGAGGAAGGCTACACCATAATTGGAAATGGTTGAATAAGCTGAAAATAATAATGATGATGATTCTGTAAACATGACAGTTGGATTCCTTTGCGAAAAAAACTTCTGTCTGTGTTTTCTGGATGTTCTGGTCAGTAGTTAGTGGATCCATTTGAACCTCTGTACATAAAAACCCACATACACTGTACAGAATTTAAGTTCCCAGTCGAATCCATAAAAGAAACACTCCTATAAAGCTAGTAGCGACTTTTAAGACATCTGCCGAGAGAGTGCATCTACGACAACATGTATAATATTATAAAAGTGGATAAGGAGGTTGTGCCAAATCAACCTATCAATTATTGTATATATATATTTCATCTGATGTGAGTTCATGTGATTCAAAAATCTACCTCAAAAAGGTCAAACTTTCTGAAGGTATAAAATTTAATTTCTTTTAGACTATAATATATCTTCGAAACTGAACAACATAGAAAAATATCTGAAAAATAATCAAATAAAGTTTATGTATTTTAATACTAACACAAACACAAAAAGAACGAAAAAAACTAGTTCTATAAACCTGCGGAACATCGAATCTCGTAAAACCCTGATTAAATTAAACGGTTCATTAGTTAATGACCCGATTGAGTTCGCACCTTTAATCGTATCGGACCTTATACCTGATGGTTCTTAGCCCGGCTCATCCTACCAAGCAACCAAAAAAAAAATAAACAGGCCAGAACCCGCGAGAGTCGAAGTCGGATGAAAATAAATAAAAAATCGGCCATAACAAACCCAATTAACGATGTGAAAAGGTGGGTTCGAGCCCCGTGAGCCCCCTTTATACGCACGGACACGCTGTATACGGGGTGGCTCAGATTCGAGCAGTGTCGTTAGGATCTCGGAAACTATATAGAGGTAAAGTTGGACAATTTGATGCTGATTAAAATGTCACCTTAAAGGCGTGTTTTCACTAGTAGTGGGAACTATCGAATGAATACTATCGAAATATTCGATAGTTGCAATTCATTCGAATAATTCGATAGTAAGAAAACATTCGTTGAAAACTATTCGAATAAAAATTATCGAATAGATCCGTCATCTGCCTTGAAATATTGTATTCTAGTAATTCGGCAGCAAAAACCATTCATTTATAAAATTCATTCATTTATGAAATTCATTTCTTCGTCAGGATCGATTATAATAAAATATTAACTGAATTTTAGTTGTCGCCCGGCGACGTAGGTTTCTTCCCAGAAACCCGACAGCGGTCGGTGGCAATGCTATGAAAGAAGCCGGCATCTCTGATTTTTTGCGGAGTCAGATATAGATAAGGACACATTATTTTTTTTATTGAGGTGCTAGTATTTACACAGAAAATACATTATGAAGGGCGCTGTTGCCATATTTTGGTATTAGTTGATATTAGCAAAGAATATTATTGTTTGGCTTTAGTTAGTAAGGGATAGTATGTCTATATATTCTGCATTTTTTTTATTAATATTTTGTTGTTACACTGCAATAATACTTGTTATTTTGGATGTAAGAAAATGATTTTTAATGTTTTTAAGCAAAGACTGGTTTAATAAATAATAATAACAGCAATAATTTGTTATACCTATTAACAACAAAATTTAAAATGATTTAATATAAATATTTTTTTTAGTAGTAGCAAAATATAAACAACAAATTAGATGTCAAAATTATTTATATTAGATCCTATTTAAAAATAATATAGTCTCTAAATTTTTTGGCAACGTTGGTTTATTAAATAATAATAATTACAGAATTAATTTGTTATATTAACAACAAATTTTAAAATCATGAAATATAAACATTTATTAATTTTCTAAGTATGCAGTGTAATGGAACGAAAATATAAATAAAAAATTAGAAATCAAAATTATTTATATTAGGTGCTTTATATTACTATTTAATAATTATATTTACTTTTACTGGCATTTACTTTAAAAAAATAAATGAAATATTTCTTCGCAAAAAACTACATGTAAGAGAATTAGCATAAACAAAATACAAACATCGTTAATTTTTTTTTTAAATTGACATGTGTAAAACTTTCATTTTAAATTTCTCATCCCATAGTTTGAGTTCGATAACCATTTACTTAACCACATTACTTAAATATGATTATTAAGTTCAACTAATTCATATTATTAAAACATCTAAAATACAAATATGTATTTTTAAAATTAATTCAAAGTTCATATCATCTCTCTTAAAAATTGCTACTTCTCAAAATTTCCCATTAAAAAATAGACCATATACCATATAAAATTAAATAATTGAAAGATCGGACTACGGAAAACCATACAAATTTTCGGAAAAATTTTGACCACCTGCACATGCACACAATCGTCAATAAATAAAATTAAAAAATAACTACTATTTTAGTATTTTAACTATTTTAATAAACGCAAAAATAGCACAGTATTTATACGGCGAAGTTATAAAAATTTGGAAGAACTAATAATGCACTGACGCATACAAAAATCAAACGAATACTAAATTTCATTTTTCATTTATCAAAAGCATTCGATAGTCGTGGCGCAACGATAACCATTTGGTCGCACGGCGAGGTTGTCACATATGCTTTAGTATACAAATGAATGAATGATTTTATTCGAATAAAACCATTCGATAGTTGAAATCATTCATTCATTAACCATTCGATAGTCTAATTCATTCGATAGTTCCCATCGCTAGTTTTCACGAGGTAAGTGAATTCATATATATACTCCAGGGTTGTCGCATCTAACATTCCAAGATCTTCTAGGCCGTCCTCTTTTCCTTTTTCCAGGAGGTGACCAGCTGTAGATACGGTAGGGCCATCTTTGGTGTTCCATGCATAGCAAGTGTCCAAACCACTTAAGGCCTCTCTGTTCGACTCTATCCACTATTGTCTGTGTGGCATCCATTTTGGCTCTGATTTCCACGTTTCTAACTCTGTCCAGTTTCTAGATACTCCCGCACTGCGTCTCAAATAGTCCATTTCGAGTGCATTCAAAGCTCGCTTTTGTTCAGCTTTTAAGGTCCAAACTTCACACCCATAAGTTACTACCGACTCCACTAGGGCTCTTCCAATATGTACTTTTGTGTTTGGTCTTATGTTTTTGTCCCACCAGATGCCATTCAGTGCTCCTATAATCTTCCGCCCTTGTTCTATTCTAGCAGATACTTCTGTTTTGTCCAGTCCCATTCTGGTTATACGAGCCCCCAAATATTTAAACCATTCAACCTGTCTGAGCTTTGCATTGTCAGTAATAAAAATGTCAAATTTATCATCTGAATTGGTCACTAGATATTCCGTTTTATCAATGTTCACAGTAAGGCCCCATTCGGTGTATGCCGAATTTAATCTGCTCATCATGAATTCAAGGTTTTAAGTAAGCATCTTCAGCTATGACCACCTGATCATCGGCAAACTTCAATATAACCAAACAGTCATCTCCTACAGTTTTCGAGATGCCGATGACGAGGCTGGAATTTGGGACACCCTGTATACAGGCTATCCTCACGAACCGAAAAATTATTCATAATTTATGGCCACTTCTCCGAATTCAAAGTAATCGTTAATATTATTATTAATAAGGAGAACAGATATAAATAGGCCGTAAAATCTCGAATATGTTAATAAAGGCAATAAAAAAGGGTATCGCAGTCAGTCGCGGTGACTTCGGAATCCCAGTGGCGCGACATCTTTTTTTCCTCGATATATAAAATTGCTGAGGCCTGTTGTGTTTGTCTCACTTCTATGTCTGTGCCAAGTCTTCTATCCCTACGCCCTGCACATCAGCTTTTGCAGATCCTTATATTAATATTGAGTACCCCGCTGTTTCAGGATCTTAACAATCAGTTTAAGGATCAAAAAATATAGTCTAAGAACTACTCCATAACATTCAGAACAATGAACCACTTGAGGACAAATTAATAAAGGACATGCCAGATCAAAGATATTTAAACTCACAGAAGTCTACAAAATAAAAATACTATAATACTGTAAAATAAAGAATACGGAGTTTGAACGGCGGCATAGCAACATCGCAACAGTAGAATCTAGGAATTTTCATTCATCCTCGAAATCCGTTGTACTACGCCGGCATATTTCTAAAACTGACGTTGCCAAACTGCTTTTATAATATTTTTATTCCATTATAAAATTTAAAATAGTTAAGCAGTTAAGCATTTAATGAAAAAATTGACGTTAGCAAATAAATGTATTTTATATATTATAGAAATATAACGAAATTGTTTATTACTTCATAATTGGTTGTGGTATTTAATCGAATACTAATACCAATATACAGGTAAATCTGACAAATGTTTTCGGTGTAAGAGAGATGGGAAAATAAGGATAGAATTATGGCCCATGAAGGAAAAAGATAAACAATTGGATCTCTTGAGTTTAAATATCTTTGTGTCACGATAGTGCAAAATCGCTATTTTTGGGGCTTACTCAACCGGGTCTCACAATGCAAATTCACCTCAAATATCCATTTAGTTGGTCATTGGCAAGCACTCTCTCATTGTACATGAAAATAACAAAACAAACATTTACTATTACAGTTGAGGGTTGGAACCTTTGGTGTTACACAGCAAAATAAAAACACTAAATCACCACAATACACCAAAACACTTTTACTTTTACAATGGACGCGCGTTTCGCTAACCATGTTAGCATCATCAGCAGATGATTATAAACAGAAACGCGCGTCCAGTGTAAAAGTAAAAGTGTTTTGGTGTATTGTGGTGATTAAGTGTTTTTATTTTAAACATTTACTGATCTGGAGTCTAGTGTGAGCCTAGGACGACGGCCTAAAAACCCGAAAAACCAAATTTCTTCAAACGATGGCCGCGAAAGCCTAAACTACTACATAATTCAAATATTATTCGGATCTATTGGTTAATAATCTTCAACAACTAGCTAGTTTCACCTGAAATAGTATAGGGGCTTCCCCCGGACGCAAATCTGCCGCTTAACCGATTCGCATCCCAATTGAATAGGCTAATTGTGTAGCTCACTATCCCAACGCCGCGCCGCATCGTCAATCGAGAAGACATTATGGAGACCTCAAACTCTCAAGACCAACTCGAAGGCAGGACGTCACAAGAGGTTTTCTTCCTGTGGTCAAACGACCCCGTTGGCTTACAGTCAAAGGACTTGTAAGTATATTAGTCAAAAGACTCGCAACCCCCATTTGTCAGCTCTGTGACAAAACACAACACTACACAGCCGGCCGGCACGTCTACTACTGACTGACCCGCCGCGCGCCGGCAAGCTAAGCCTCCTCTTACATCACAATTTTACCTGATCACAAATATTTACATCGCTTGCCAATGAATCATACTATTTTCTCTAATCGACTTTCAAATAGAGTGTTTTAGCATTACTAGATAAACAAATAGAGAGTTTCCGAAGGAACGCATATTGTTTATTAGAATAGTGAATAAATAAAAGCATTATTATTTTCGAACGAACTTATTTTCCAAGTTTTACAATAGTCATCATCATTTTCAGCTTATTCAACCATTTCCAATTATGGTGTACATTGGCGTAACTACAGGTTCTGCTGAGCACCTCCCAAAGAAATCCTGAACTATGACTCTTGGCTACGTATTAATTTTTATTTGCTTGTGATGCAGTAAAAATGACGCTTTCTAGTTGTGGTAAAAAATGTGGCAATTTTCATTTTTTTAGAAAATTTGTAGGTATTTAAGTACCTAATCTACGGGAACACGGTTTGATAACCAAATCTATGAAATTTATTGATAGAGAAATTCATGTAAACGTTTTATTCAAAAAATGTCTTTTTTTAAATTAATTTTCAATTTAAAAAAAAAAAAAGACCTAGGCCCCCCCTGGGCTCATATATTACTAATTTTGAATATTTCTACATTTCATTTACTGTTATAACACTGTTTGACGAGTCGCCAGTGTCGCTCGATGATAAAGCTGCAGCTTTACATATATCAAAACAATTTATGTCCGTTTTATTGATGTAAAATCGCGATTAAATCCAAATTAAATATTATAATGGTACGGGGGCCGGACCTGGACCACTCCCAGGTGCCAAGCGACAAACAGAAACATCGCAAAGTGACAACACTCGTAAACGGAGAAGACAGACTTAGGTACCAACAGAATTATAACTTTATTTTATACGTTACTGGTAAGTTATGCTACTTTGGAAGTAGTGTCTTTAAAAGTATTTACATTTGTAGAGTTTCCAAAAAGGCTTTTGGAAATTCCGGACACGTGAACTCAGAAATCCGGACAAATGAACTTGAAAATGAAAAAAAACTATACATTTATTTATGAACTTTTATAGGACGCAAATAATAGCCCCGGAATCAACAAAATATAAACAAAAAAAAAACATTCACTTTCCACGAGTGGGTATTGTGAATAATCGTAAACTTTTAGGTATAAAGTATTAACTGAAACTACTAATTTACACCACTAATTTTGATGTTCTGAATGAGGCTTAATTAATAATAAATAATCAACATCCAGTCTTTAGATTACTACCATATAGGTAGTCCCTCCGGATGTCGATCTTCATTTACCAGCCTCTTTGATTTACAACGATCAATATTTTTGTGGTGTGTTTTGGCCTCCAAACGGGTTCGGTGGTGCCCCCCTCGGTACCAGGGGGCTCCGTGGGATGCCGTACCTTTTCGGGGACTCCCGCAGCGATCCGAGCAGCTGTCGCTAAGTCCCGAACTCTCTCGCCTGGCTCTGAGATAGACATCTTCATTTCGTGAAAGGCCAAGAGAAGCTTATTAAGGAATTTCTTTATGGTGAGATGAATTTCGACAAATTAGAGTTGATCTTTTTTCCATAGCAACTGTTAAAATTGCCTTATATCTATCAAAAATAGTAGATAAAATAGTACTTTAACAGCAATGGTAGATTAAATAATGATACTTTAACAGCGAGGATATAGGTTAAAAACTTTATTTCTTCTCGCACGTCTTTTAATTGCTTCCATTTTTGAAAATTTTTGTATACCTTTTCTTAAGTTATTCGGGATTTAAATGGAAGTAGGTAGTTTGGATATGGCGTTTGTCGCCTCAACCTGAATATCTGTTGGTAATTTACTTATTTCGTTTTGAGCCATTTCTGGTTCCAATTCAATCAGCAATCGACACGAAAGAGAATTAAAAAATATTGATTCAAAACTGACAACTAAAGAGACAGCTTTATTTATTTGTCAAATTATATAGAAACCAACGCCAACCCAACACAATATTTTTCTACTCGTAATAAATTCCTTGAAATAATAATTTCTCTGGAAAAAAATATTGATTTATACACGACGATAAAATTGCATTATCGTCTTCCGAAATTAATTCAATCATCATTTCATCTTTTCGGTCGACGATAAAATACCATTTTATCCCTTAAGTGCTGATGTAAAAAAGGGGAATTTTGTTGTTCTAAAAAATAACTGTTTATACAGGGTTGTTCACCACATACGACAAGGAGTATTGTAGCTAAACGATTAAATTTTTACAAATTGTAAGTTTTGGGTTCATTGAAGGACTATTAGAGCTACAATTTAAAAATATTTTTACAAGATACAGAGTGTCCCAAATAAGTAAAAAATATTATAGTTGTATTTTTTTAAATGGAACACCCTGTATATTATTCTATTTTTAGATTCTACGATTAAAATAAAGATGAATTTGATTAAGGTTTATCATACTTAAACCTTACCGTTTTTGAAATATTTTCAATTTTATGACATTGCAGTAAACATTTTAAGGCTTCATTTCTTCAAGGGTAAAAAAGTTTTTAAAACTAAATATTTACTAAAGATTATTTATTGATCAGGTATTGTTTTGCAATACTTAAAATTCTACTACTTTATACAGAGTGTCCACAAAATTATATTAAATAATTACTAGCTTTAAACGGCAATAACTTGTTTAATTTAAATGGGACACCCTATATATTTTACGTGAATCATATGCATAATTTAATTGTCTATCAAATTGTGTTATACCATTTTTTACCCATCTCTTCAAGTTTTCGTAGAAAAGGCATTTTCTTATAATTTAGACCTCATTAATCACTATATCCATCGAATATTGACATCTTAGATTATTTTTAAAGATGTAACAAATTTTCAAAAAGTACAGACACTAATATTGTCGATATAGTTCACTTATTTCATTAAAAAATAAAATAAAAAACTGTTGTAATTGTAAATATTTTTTGTTAAAGAGGACCAATTAATATGATCCCAGTATTCAAACTACATTAATTGACTGTTTACGTTGATTAATAATAATTGCTCCAAAACTGAAAAACTGAATTTTGTGTGTATATTAGACACTGTAGTAAAAAGTAACACCTTATAA